AACTTTCACGTGAATATGAACATGAGCAGTGTATTCTATCAGCTGTGCCTGCAGCAGGGTCAGCCTCTGAGCACCGAGGCTCATTACAGGTTACACTGTCCACATACTTTTGGCATGTTGGGTAAACCAGCCTTGCACCTTCCTACTATTTGTGTTCAACTTATTTGTCTCTGGCCCCGCCCCCCCCACCCTTCACCTGTCCACAGGTGCCTCGCTGCCCCCTGGCACACACACCATCCCCCTCAGCCAGCTGCAGGGCCAGCCTCTGGCCATTCAGGGCCCCGTGGCGCCAGCACCCGCTGCTACGCTGCATGCTTCGTCCACAAAGCCGACCACTCTGCTCCGCCTCCCCACCACTGTGTCACTGGCAGGTCAGCATGCTACCACACCCAGCGCACACCTGAGAGAGAGAGAGAGAGAGTGAGAGTGTACATGTATTGCTGTCTTTGTGAGGGACAGTTTGAGTGTCAGGGTTCAGGGAGGGGTTGGACATTTACTAAGTTAGGGAAAGCTGCTAGGGCATGTGTTATATCAGTGAGGGTCCTCACAGCTACAGAAAGATCACTGTGTCTGCTGTTGAAGCAGGAGGTCGGGTCACTTCGCAAGCTGTCGTCACTCATACTTGTCTAAAGTCATTTCATCAGTCAGGAGCTGATCAGAAGCAGGTGATTGTTATTGAAGCCACAGATCAGAAACAAGCAGTGCGAGCTCACATGGAGCTTTAAAGATTCTGAAACAGCTTGGCAAGACCAGTTACTGGGTGTTTACTGTCTCCACAGGGAACAGAGAATCTTGCTTTGTTTAGTCTGTGGAAGGAAACATTAAGTTCTTTGTAGAATCCCACATGACCGGGTACTCTGTGCAGGCTGCTGCTCAAACATTCATGTGACCCTGCTTTCTTTTTAGTCTGAAGCAACAGGCAGGTGGACTAAGTTCAGATCAGACCAGTCTCAAAGTTTGATGTTAAAATTTGAAAATAAGAAGTTGAAGAGCAGCTGGATAATGTGTGTTCATCAGGAGGAGGAGTGTCTCAGCAGCTGCAGACAATCCAGGTTCAGCCCAGCAGTCAGCAGGCCTCCACCAATCAGAGCGGTGCAGATATTCATAACTCAGCCTCCTCCACAGGTAAGCTATTAACCCCGCCTCCTCCACAGATAATACTGCCATCAAGACCAAAATCTGTCTGATGAAACTTATTTGCACTGGCTGTTCTATTTGCCTGTGCTGGCATGCTACTTGTTACGTAGCGGCAAGGGCAGAAAAACCCGTTTAAATGGAACGCAGGTGGCGCAGGGGGCGGCGATATGTCACTGGTCAGCTGATAATGGTCATTCTAGAAAACAGGCAATGATGTCTCTGCTTTTGAACACAAAATGAACAGACTATATCTGGGGGGGCAAGCAAAGCACAGCGCCACCTGGGGTTTGTGGAGCACACAAACTGAAAGGCCAGGCAGAGAAATGTGGGGAATAGTTAGCTGAATATGACAAAATGTGAAATTACTTGGAATCACTGATTATAACTTTAGAGTGTTGAGTCAAACCTATCACTGTCCTCGCGCTCAGGGCAGCTCCTCTCCTCCTCTGCTGCTTAGATTCATACTAACAAACATGATTTTGTGAATGCAAGCTGTGTCCCGCTCCCTCTCTGAAACCTCGAGATCGGAGATCATCGGGACTTTGTGGTCTGTTCAGATTAACCTCTCCAGTGAAGCGAAGCAGGAGGTCAGTTCACAACAGAAGCAAATGTGTTTCATACTGTTCCACAGACGTGCATGATAAGGAATGTTGGTGTGGCTGCTCCGTTACACTGAATCCAGACATCAGCGTGCTTGCTGCCCATATCCACAGGACCTCAAAGGAGGCTTGGAGTGCAAACTTCACCACACGCTGCTTGGAAAATGTTAGGGTGTCGGATGAAATTATAATATGCCATATACCATATTTATTTTTGGAGACGTTTGCTTTTTAAAAAATTATCAGTTTACTGATGCAGTAAAATCTCATTTGCACGGACTGAACATGAACAGAATAAGTTAGTTCTGCTCTGCAGGTTGGATTTTGTCCATCGGTGGTAAGGGTTTAATTCTGATGTACTGTTGTGTGCAGTAGCCCACGTAAAGGGAACCCCGTTACAGCAGCAGACCTGCACATATCCCAGCCTTAAGAACCATTCAGAAAAAGACCACAGTTGATAATACACAATTAAATGTGCCAAAGAATGTGTGAGCATCCCTGTGGCAGCTCAGTATTCAGGTTAAGTGCTGTTTACTTTGATTCAAGATTTTTATTTGCCATTTATGCATAAACAGTCTAAGCATATAGGAATTCTTGTGCAGGGCTGTCCTGGAGTCAAGTAAAGAGTTTAAAGCCAAAAGAACGAACACCTGGTCTAAATATAAGATCACCCAAGAATAGAAAATTCAAAAAAACAAGAATTCAAAATAGTTGATAAAATTGTAGATACAGGAATAAGATGGCAGGTAAAATGGGGAGTTTCACATATTGCACATGGTGTAATTGTATATGGTCTTCTACTTAGTAGGGTAATGAGGAGTTATTGCACATATATTCTCACATTTCCGTATTTGCCATCAGTCTTACTGCAGCAGGGAAAAAGCTGTTGTAAAGTCTTGTTCTGGGTGTGATGATACTGTCCACCCTGCTGTGCCTGAGGCTGTAGGTGCAGTTTTTGTTTCTGAGCAGAGTGTGAGCTGGGTGGAGTGGATCTCTGATTATGTTCTCTGCCCTTTTACGACAGCGCTGTGTGTACAGTGTGTCCATAGCAGGCAGTTCAGTCCAAGTGATCCTCTCTGCAGTCTTTACGACCCAGAGCCTTCCTCTCTGCCTGTGTGGTGTTACCATACCAGACTGTGATGCCAGTGATGAGGATGCTCTCTACCAGTCCTCTATAAGCCTGGGTGAGAGGGCGATGGTTCAGACCAGCTTTTCTGAGCTGCCTGATGAAGTATAGCCGCTGCTGGACTTTCTTCACTGTGGCAGCTGTGTTCAGTGACCAGCTCAGTTCAGGTCAGATGTCACCTGCAGGCCCAGGAACTTGTGGCTGTCAGCCCTCTCCACCTCAGTCCCTTTGATGGTCAGAGGCAGCAGAGAGGAGGGGTTCTTCCTGAAGTCTGCTATTATTTCTTTGTCTTTTTTATGTTGAGGATGAGGTCATTCTCCTCTCCATAAACTAGAATGTCGTTCACCAAGCTTCTGTTACCTTTGGCCCCAAAAATCTAATCTAAACTAAACTGTGCATACAGTGACAATGTGCCCTGAGTTGACATGGCGCCTCTCGAGGCAAACGTGTTTGTGCGTCCCACTCTTGAATGCTGGCTTTTTCTTCGTTTTCTTTTTTGTGTGTTTTTTGCTTTTACTGTGGTGCACAAATGTCATGCACTGCTTACATACAACAGACAGGCATTGCTGGATATCGCCAACTCACAAAGCCACTAGGAATTTACTGGTTTCATATCACCAGAGCTACAACTCATTGTTCGCGACAGCAACAATTGCGAGGACAGCAAACGCCGTACTTGGGGAGTCCCTGGAGCACCAGGCACAAGCAAGCAGGCTGAAATCAGGAGAGCGACCCGGAGACGCAAAAGGGGCAGGCGAGGGGGACTCCATGCTAGGCTAAAAGCTTGCGCTACCCACCGCCATTACCCAGCCTCTTCCTAGCTAACGTACAGTCTCTGGAAAACAAACTTGACGAGCTAAGGGCTAGGATTATAGCACAACGGGAAATAAGAGAATGCTGTGCTCTAATTCTCTCCGAGACTTGGCTTTCTGACAGTTCCAGACTCCACGATTCAGCTAGAGACTCACTCTGTATATCAAGGAGACCACACTGCTGCTTCAGGGAAGGTAAAGGGATGTGGTGTGTGTGTGTTTATCAATAACTCATGGTGTGGAGATGTACGGACTGTTTATAAGCACTGTTCGCCAGATGTAGAGTTTGTATTGCTGAAATGCCGGCCCTACTATCTAGCCAGAGAGCATAGTGCTGTACTTCTGGCTGCTGTGTATGTTAGCCCAAGAGCTAATCCCTCGGCGGCTCTCAGCAAACTCTATGTAATCAGCGTGCTAGAGACGGTGCACCCTGATGCTGTATTTATCGCTGCAGGCGACTTTAACCAGTGTAATTTACAGACTGTACTTCCCAAATATTACCAACATGTGAACATTCCCACTCGGGGCAAGAACACTCTGGACCATGTTTACAGTAACATACGTGGTGCATACAGGGCTGCACCCCGCCCCCACCTTGGACGCTCAGACCACATTTCTTTGTTCCTGTATCCAGCTTACAGACAAAGACTGAAACAAACAAACCCTGTCACCAAACAAATTAAACTCTGGACCCCAGAG